CATGCATGTAGGCCTATGCTTTTATTCATCCCCTGCACTTCACATATTTATTTATTTATCCACCTTACTTTTATCTTTTTAAAAAACTTTGTTTCTCTTGTGTTTTCATTAGGGATGCACGATATTGGGATTTTAGCCGATATCCGATATTCAGTTTTAAGGCCGATACCGATAGGGGGCCGATTATATCGTGCATCCCTAGTTTTCATTTGTGAAATGTGATTGTGTGTCGGAAAGGTGTACTAGTGCTGTACAAAAAATAAAAGTTACTGAATTGAACTATCAAGAAAGTCAATGCCGTTAAGCTGAGTAACACCTGAACTAACTGACACACGTACATTTCCTTTAAGCTCAACTATGATTTAGAAAATATTGTTAAGGATCCTTTAAAAACTGAACAAAATATAAGTATAGGTATGGTGGTTTTAAAAATATGTCAAAAAAGTATTAGTCAATCATAGTAAAGAATTTTGAAGCTATTTAATCCAAAATAAGATTTAAATATGTGGGTATCACTGATTTTTATTGTTCTTTTTCCCCCCAATTAACTTACATACTAACTCATTTATCTGTGCATATTCACCACATATGTACAGGCTATCAGGCCTATAAGTAGGTCTGCTCCTGGATATGTTTTAGGAATGTTAACGCATTAAAGGACACAGCAAAGACAGCTTACATTTTTCTCTGATAACTCCAGAGGGTGGCTTGGAAGGAGCTCATTCTTTATGCTGGTGAAGCTGTCACAAAGAGAGGGAGAGAAAGCTGTTACAACCACCAACATGCACCTTAAACTTAACCGAATATGGCGGCTCTTCTTTGCAGATAAAGTAAACACCTGAACAAATAAAGAACAGTATAGTGAACATAATTCGTGGTTTCTTACCCGCTCCGCAGAGAGTCCTGCACCCCATAGGCCCCCTGTGGACACAGTCCTGCTACAGGTACACTGTCTTTGAGCTGAGAGCGGAGTCCACGGCTGTTCTGTGATACACACCGAAATAAAACACTTCAGACCTTCACGTCTGCTAAACATAATCAAAAACAACCAAATACAAACACTCGGAGCCGACTTAAAAAGACAAAATACGGATAAACATAGCTGCTAACATAAGCGCTAATGTAGCATTAGCTCGAGTGACTAATCAAATTCCCGAGTCAGCTCCGCATGATGATCAGACTAACATTTAAGGGGGGTGATAATGAAATATATAACGCCGATTAAAATAAATTAAGTGGATGGAAAATATTTAAAAAGGAATATATTTAAAAAGATGAAATAAACATGGTACAATACCATTGTGTCTCCTTTCCTTGCACTTTCCTTTTGGTAAGCTTGTATATCCGCCGGTGTAGCACAGTAATTACGAAACATCCGGTGCAAGTCCCGCCCCTGAAAAACTGCTCCGTAATTTGATAAAACGAAATATAAGCACGGAATGTTATATGCTGTTAGCATCTGAGTGGTTTCAATACCATTAGTATTAAAAAGTATTCACCGTCAGTGTCACACCATAACGCCTGAAATCATCATGTGTTTCGGATAAATTTCAAGTATTCATTCCGACATGTACAGCGGGGGTATAGCTCAGTGGTAGAGCATTTGACTGCAGATCAAGAGGTCCCCGGTTCAAATCCGGGTGCCCCCTCTTTTGTAGAGTTTTTTTTGAGTAATTATTTTTTCAAAAATCTTGTATTTTAAGTGGAGTTGGATTGAAAAGTTATAGTTTGGATTCTTCAGGGTCCACCTTATTCCAACCTGATGGCCTGTGTAAAACAGATTAAATTGAATGTATTTAAATAGTGCCAATTCCCAACACACCTTATCTCAAGGCACTGTACACAGGCAATTCAATCATGTTATACAATCAGATTGCATTAAATATCAAAAACTAAGAGGAATATAGTAGCTTTCAGCCAGCTGGTGTACATTTGTAATTTGCAACAAAAGCAACGCACCAAAAATCCGTAAAATAAAATAAAATTTCCATTGTTACTGTTAAATATTTATGATACAAATATCATATTATTATACAAATATAATGCTTTATACAGCTTTCAACACCTACAACAACTTGTTAAAAACATACGAGTTACTGTAACATTTTAATTTACTTTTGCGATTAATAAAGTCTTTTTTATTTGAAAATGAATCAATACCTAACCCTCAGTGGAGTGAGGAATGAGGTCATCATTCCCAATACTATCCTCCTGACTGCTGCTTAGCTCCTGAGGTGCAGGATGCTTGACCTGCATCCCTCAAACGTCGCCCTGTACGTCTGAGTTATCCCCCTGTCTCCAATATTCGTTATAGTTTTTGAAAGAAGATAGTACGGAAGAGGATTAGGGCCACTGAAAAAAAAAATAAAGATAACTAATTTTTAAATTTTATTTCAGTTTAATATGGGAAAAAAAATCAGAATTCTGACTTTTTTCAATGACACATTGGTGGAAAATTACAGAATTAATCAACTTTTTACATGCCCGAAGGTTTCCCCTTATTAATGGAGGAGCAGAAGGTCATTAAAACAAGAGAGCTAGTCTCTAAAACAGACATGGCTACAGCTTGATGCTAACATGTTTATCAACTGTCAGAATTCAGTCAGAATTCTGAGAAAAATCTTCCCTAAGATACGCTCTGGAAATTACATCAGAAACATTTAATAAAGATAACAAAAAAAAAAAAAAAACTAATGACCAAACATGCAAATGTCACTCCATGCAGTTGTTCACAATATGGTAGTCATTGTTTTCACACTGCAAAAACGATCCAGAAATAATTAAAAAAAGTCTTAAATTAAGTGTATTTACTCTTAATTTGAGTAGGTAAATAAGATGATTTGCCAATGGAATTAGTATTTTTACTCTTAAAATAAGATTATTAGAGAGTATGCACTTGAAACAAGACAATGCAATTGTTTTTTCTTATTTTAAATGTAAATTGTCTCATTCCATTGGCAAAGCAGCTCAATTACCACCTCAGTTAAAAAAATGCACTTATTTTAGGAAACAATTACTTTTTTAGATTTAAATTTTTTGCAGTGCAGTTTTCATTATCACAGTCATTTAGCAGACGCTTAAGCTGCACTAAGTATGGCACTGACAACCAAAAATATGAATGCCAGATCACTGGAGGTCTGGCAATTACTAAAATGTACAGCTTTAGCTAACTGTACTAAGATGTGAGCAATAGAAACTGAAGTCAAATTCCTTGTTAATAATTCATCTTTCTTGAATTCTCGTGAATTAAAGCCCCTTGAATGTGCAGTGGAAGCGACTTCTGTCAGACCATTTTCTTTTGTACCGTATTTACACATCACTGGAAAGTCAGATGATTTGCCAAAGTACTGAAAAAATAGGTAATTGTTGTACTGTAGAGACTTTGACATTCAAAATGTTTTTATATGTGAATGACTATTAATGCAAATTGATATTTTATTGAATACAAAACTCATTATTTTTGCTGTGGATGCTTTATTTAAAGTTTATATCACAAAATAGCTTATGATATACTTATACTTTTTTTTTTACTTATACCTTATTTTTTTGTCATGTGAGGAGGAGAATCATTTCCAGAAATATTTCCAACCGCCCAGAGAAAAACTGATCAAAATCTGAGCTCTCTTTAAACTCAGTTAGACCGTCTGGGATGCTTTCATTCAGAATCTGATGGCATTAATCTTTGTTCAGACTTCTCCTTTCATCAGCTTTCTCTAAATACTTTAGGTTGAAAACTGCAGGATATTGTAGAAAAAACATGAAGGAATGCTAGTTTACATGCAGGAAAATTTACCTTAATGCATAATGTCCAGCAGATTCCAAAAACAGTTTCTTCCCCAATGCCATTAGACTGCTAAATGTTTTGTAGAATTGGTTATTGTATTGTATTGTATTATTATATTTATTATATTTTATCATATATTAAAAAATTGTAAATTTACAGTCATTTTTTACTATTTTTCAGGGCTGCACTTTTAAAACGAAACTTCTTTTTGTTTTACACTTGTGTAAACAAAATGACAAATAAAATCTGTCTAAGTCTAAAATTCTAAAGTCTAATGTATGCATATTTTATTAAGCAAATCTGAAATCTTGCTGTTTTTCTGAAGTCAGATTAATTGTACTCTGCAAATTGAATGACCAACAGTTTTGACAGCAGATATGTGCAGAGATAGATGGATTACAAACTGATCTCACAGATGGTACCAATTTATCAGTAAACACACTGAATAGGTTTATGGACGGTGCAGTTAAAGCAGCAGTTTACCACTGATGACTTTATTCTGTTTGACCCAATTGCTTTCAGCTCACTAGTCATTGAGATTTAACATCAGTGTACATGTTGTATGATTTGTTTGGAGGAAAAGAAGGAGAAGAAAAACAATTAGACACATGAAACTATGGAGGTTGGATAAAAAAAAAATGTATCAATTTGTATTGCAACATTTGCGGGGGGAAAAAAACCCAACAACCTTACAACAATATCTGAATGTTTCCTATAAAGTCCTCAGAAATGCATACATTGGGCACAAAAAGGCTGTAATAAAAGGATAAATATAAAAATATACTTTTTAAACCCAGCGCTGATGTTTCATGACATGACATGTCAACGACATTGACATGACATCAGCGAGCTCATTTATCTTATAGACATTTGTTACACCACATATGATCCTCAACAGGGGGAACCTATCAAGAAGCACACTTAATGCAATATAGTTTAAGATAGAGAATACGTAACAGAGTTTTTTTTCCCTTGGGACATCTTATAGCTGAATAAATCACAGTTTTTTTCAAGGTAAGTCCTTTTGACCTCAATAGATTTGGAAGATGATGCTCCCCTCTGAAGAGCTTATCTTAATCTTTTAGATGTCAGAAAAGCCAAACTAATTAAAAAAAAAAAACAGAAGATATGCATTGTCATTGTCAGAAACAGAAGTAATTATTTTTTTACTAAAGAAAGAGGATTTAACGTTAACAGAGAGTTTTACAGAATGCAGCTAGAAGCCACCAATCAGAATCAAAATCTGCCTGTAATGATGGACTCAGACCTGAACTTAAAAGCATATGAACAGCAAAGTCCTCCTTCTGTCACCTAAAGAACATCTCCAGAACTGAAGAGCTAATTTTTCAGCAGGACCTTGAACATTAATTCATTTGTTCAGCTTTAGTATAACTGATTACTCCAATGGAAACGTAACATGTCTGCCTAAAATGTTGATTAAACAGCTGCAGCTGACGAACACTGATGAAGCCCTAAAACCCTGAGTCTCTTTAAGTCAAGACTAAAGTTAACCTTCTACTGTGCTATATAAGCAACATTAGTTACGTTTTTAGAATAACTTTCCTCAATTTGCACCAAATATTTTAAACTATTTATTTTTCTCTCTCTAAATATTTGCTACTTTTATACCACTGCAAAGTACTGTTCTTTTTTGACCATGTTCAGCACTTAGAAGAGTGTTGTTACTGAAATTTGCTAAACTTACCACTGTGTAGGCCTGAGTGTATCTATTCTAAAATGTGCATTTTGCATGAAAGCAATTGAGAAAATTCTGTGTTCTCTTTCTGATTTCTCAACCAATTTGTGATTTGCACTGTCCAACATTAGGGGGCACTCTTTACTCATTTTTGTTTACTTGTTTGTGGTTAGCTTTAACCATCAACCATTTTTCCTTCCTAGTGCAAATGTTTTCCTACAAAATGTTGCAATTTTCTCTAAAAAAAAGTGTATTTTAAAATCCTGAACTCATTCATTGCTTGGTTAATTAAATTTATGGTTTATTTCTCTTTCATGTTTTATTTATTTATTTCTGAATAACTGGTGTGCTGCAGTATGCTGTAGTGTCCTACACAGTTTTATTTCAGCTTCATAAAGTAAATTACTGCTCTTTCTATTGGGGTTGTGATTCTAGACCGCATTTATCAGGGGGGAGTCGAGTGCTTTATTAGTAGTGGGAACAGACCTAATCCATGGGGAATAAGGAACAAGTTAGAGCCCGTAAAAACCAGCCTAAATCAGAGAAAACCGCTCAGTTTTCCTGAAAACGTTTCAGCCTGTTTACAGGTTGCTATATATCCTTGTATGCAGCTCCTTTGTGGTGTACATTTTAAAAAGCTAGTATGCAGAAGCTTAAGGTTGCTTATAATAAGTCATTGAGAATTCTTCTTAAAATATCCATGATCAGCAGTGCAAGTGAGATGTTTTGTAAATCACTTGTCAGAACATTCCAGGCCCATCTGAGAAATCTGATATACATGTTTAATTGTTGTCTGAGCAGCTCATTACACAGTCTTATTGTAATGTTTTCACATCTTATCTGCACCAAGATACCAGTCGGCTCTGTGGAAACATTGGTATGCATTAGGGATGGAACGGTTTTTGAAAAC